AACTTCTTACTAAATTTGCTATAAGAATCTCAATGTTGGTCTCAGTTAATACAATAAAGAAATCATCTAAGTATACGGTAATGCATACCTTTTTCTCTTCCATTGTTTGCGCGTATTCACCTGCATCCATCTTTAAGCAACAGTAACCACAAGTTCTCAAATACTTGTACAGCATCTTTACCAGATGCGAGGTGCTTGGAGCAGGCCGTATAATAATTAAAACAGATTGCAAAACCTACCAGAATTATCATCAAAGTATTCGATTTATAATATGTAAATCTTGACATTATCGAAAGGGCCATATACTTGTTGTATCAATAACTTTTTTTTTGGCAGGGCATGCCCAAAAACAGAGCTAGGAGCAAAACCGATCTAACCGACTCAGCCTTCGCTAATGGAGATAAATTCTTCCAAAAGTTAATACCAAACTCTTATTATCATCCCTTTATCGAAATTCGCGCGTGAAATCGGCATACTTCACTGTTCGCATTACTTTTCCGCACCAAGACCCACTTATTCCTCAATGTATTTACTTCATAAGGCCGAATAAATAGCTCCCATACGTAAGTCCGCATCAATTCTCAATACCCAGTGCCAAGCTCTTTAATCCAGTGCTTTGCAATTGAAGCACGTTAAGTTTTTGTAACTGACATAAGATCCAGCCGTTTTTTCGCTGCCTAAATTACTATCGCTGTGGGAATATTCAGTTCAAAATTTGACAGCCGTATAGATGGTCGTATTGGTCGAGTAGATTGCTTAGATGATAGCTTAAGGAAATACAGCTCTAACATTAACACTAGTCTGTTTATTTCAACGGTGCTATATTCACCCCTCCCCTGTCCAAGCGAAACATATCCAGCAATGAAGTGCCATTCGGGTTGACATCATCACAACGTGCCCGATTCATGTCACTATTGCTTACTTTAGGTAAACATCTCCATCACTAAATGTTTGCGGTCGATTCGAAGGCACAAGGCCTCTGCGATTAGACATATCTTAAATAAATCGAGAGGTACATGCAGACTGCAGTTAGACGGGTCCTTGCTACATTTACTGCCGCTTACGCTGTAATGACGAAGCAAGCCGCTTTGGAAAGTTTTCACGTAAATTACGACCACGACATGACCCCATTCCAGCCTGTACATCATATGCCGCCTGTGACCGGAACGACCGAACTTTAGCCTTGCTATACTCACCTAATTTCCACTCAGCAAGTCACTTCCGTAATCTCTTACCAAGGCTGACTTGCCAATGGTGGAAAGCATTCTTTACAAAAAAAATTATGAATAAAATATCCATTACGGAGAGGTTTTTTCATTACGATAATTGATGTTATCAGTCATGCCAACTGTAACGGGCACCCTTTTGTTTGGGTGCCACGAAACTTCACGTAAGCCCGTACGTGCGGCGGAAGATTTTATCTACTTAAACTACTATTTTAAGTGAAGCTGAAAGAGAATTTTATATAATATTGTTAAGCTATCAATATAACTTGTGCTTATACCATAAAAATCTACATTGTCGTATGACGACAACCTGCTCACCACCCATTACGCGCGTCTAGCAGCGATTGGTGGTAATATATAATTAATATATCTTCCATCAACATATTCTCGATCACCTCGTGAATATTACCTAGCTCGGGTAATATTGGCAATAGATTGTCACGTTAGACAATATTTCTATTGACATCGTTTGGTGTCAATATCACGTAACGGACTACCCCGTTACATCACCCCCCCCCCTTAACCTTCAACCATCGTTAATTGAGTAAAATTGATTGGGGACAGGGTACTTACAGTTTGATCACCCTAAGAAAGGGGCAGCACTTGTTGGTTAATTTCAACTCAATTGTTAATTTAACGCATGGTGTCGAAGGTCATGCGGTGCGCTGCTGAAGCAGCAATAAAGGCGCCCGCACGCACGCGTGCAGCCAAATTGAGTACTTCTCATGCATTAGCAGCAGGTGATCGCTCGCCTGATGTTGCGGATAAGCAACAGGCAGGGCTTGTTGCGACTAGTGCACGTGGTTAGTCACCATATGCGACAAATACATCCGATGCGTCATCTGCGAATGTTACATCTCATAATGCGGATGAGCCTGAGATAGAACTCATCTACTTTGGCGAGTCGGATTATCCGTCCGACTCAAAGGCGGCGCCTCCTGCATCCGGACCACCCGGTGCGGACCCTGCCAGAGCTGGGTTGACTGGCTCTGGGAAATGTGGGGCCATCATGTCCGAGATCTTCGGACCGAGCGATTCGTCTGACGAATCCTCGCCTCACGCAAGTCCATCTGACACTGCTACGCATGGTGAAGGTGGTGACGCACCTTTGCGTCACCGCAAGAAAGCAAATCGAGGGATCGAGCTGTCTCAAGTCGAGTCTCCTTGGATGCCATCATCCAAAGGGATGGATTGAGTGGCCGGTACGACCACCGAACGGGGTCAAATCCCTTTTTAGACTGTAGGAGAATCTATCTTCCTCATTCCAGCACGGAAAATATTCGTGCTGAGGAAGAATTCTTCATCGATGTGTTCTTTAAACATCGGTGATACAATGGCAACCGTGGTCGCGACGGTAAAGCCTTGGTGCAGTGATGAAATGCCTTCATGCACAGCATTGAGTGCATTGGACGTGACGCCTGGCTCGATAAACTTGATGCAGATCGCATCAGGTTTGAAGAACGCAACCCAATCGGGGTGCGGTACAAGTTGCACCGAATGTCAAGAGAGGCAGGATTACCCTGTCTCTCATGGGGCGACCAATTTCTAAGGTTTCTGCACTATGCTAACCATGCCTCTATAGAGGCCTACCTCACTAATGATCCCTTCGGGGGAGCGCACATCTCTGCTGAGATGGCCGAAGGGGTTGACGCTTTGCAATTGTAGTGGAGTAGCGATCGCTCATTTTTTGAGGCGATCCCGGCTCTCCACAGGTGCCCACACGACCGACTGTCGGAGGAGGTACTTAGTTTTCGTGTCTTGTAATTCCTTCCTCACCTTGTGTACCCGTCGGTGGGGCGGGCTGCACTCTTCTCGGTGGACTCGTGTCGATAGAAAACTTGACCGTGCTTGAAATGGGTTAGTGTGATCGGGCGGAAATCTTCGCACGATCACGGGGTACTTGTAGGTTGTTTGTTATTAGTCACCCAGATCTCAACGAGATCGCCTAGTCTACTGTGTGGATGCTTAATACGCGAGCCTTCTGACCAACTAAGCCGTCTCGCGATCTTGCGCCTTGTCCTTTTAGTTTTTGCTGCGTCCGATCGCAGTTGGGGGGGGAGACATTCTTGATCCCCAGCCAATGATCTGGGGATATCACTTGGTTTTAGTATACGTGACTTTCTTTACATCGGGAGGCCAATAATCCACCCCGGAAGAAAGGAGTCGACGCGTGTACTTAGAAGCTAACAGAATTCTGTTCAATGTCAACCAACCAAAGCTAAGAATGTGACTATTCCTGTCTATATGCTAGGATGTTCTGCCACGTGTCCGCTATCTTCCGGTGATTGGTCTTCGCATGTGTGGTCCACTTCAAACAGATCGCCGATCTCCTTGGCTGCTGATTGATCGTCGATCTACTTAGCTGCTCATTGATCGTCGATCTCTTTGGCTGATCACGATCGTCGATCTCCTTGGTCGATCGTTGATCATCGGTCCCCTTGGCCGATCGCTGATGGTCGATCTCCTTGACTGATCGTCAAACGCCTTCCAGGATCTTGATCTCTGCCGAGACTTTAGTCATATCTCCGACCTTGAACATCTCATACCTCCTCAATCTTGGTACCCTGGCTTAATCTTGGTAACTTGACATTCGATCCCATTGCCGTGATATTTGCTGCGGTGTTGTAATATTCACTCCTAGTATCGTGGTATTCGATCTTAATACTGTGATATTTGATCCTGTATTGCGCCTCCTGTCAGCCAATCAATGCCTCTCAACGATTTGTCGCCTTTGGAAATTACTCCATTTATCGATCGCTCTTTCTTTCAAAATCGCTCCAACCCACAATCCCTTTACTTGCGTTCGGGGAGGTCGTTTTCCGACGACCCTTCTTTGAACAGCGGGTGGGTCTCGTCATGTTACTCGACGAGACCCAGAAGATCAGCGATCAGCTGGGCACGAGATTCAACCTGTCCCAGGTCTGTGAGTAGCCACGCCAGCGGACGAGGGATCTCGTCCGGACGCCCATTACGTCGCGTTGGCTCAAAATACGATCCACTAGGAAGCGTTGACTACCGCGAGAATCCAGGAAAAGATGTGTTGGAGGCGGGAACACCTGATACGGCTCGAGGGTCGGATCAGCTTGATGTTAAGGCACTAAACCATGTAACGGATCAGCTACACGATGACTATGCTCATGAACGGACTCGGTGTTACGAGCTATATGACATTGTAAGGGACAGTTACGATTCCGTGGCGCAAGATCGTTTATCCTATCGTGTCGCGTTTACTTTTGCGCAACTTGAGAATGAACGTTCGGTTCGTTGTCTTCGTGACGAGCTAACTGCAGCTCGTCAGGACATCGCTTAACTACGTGAGCAGGTCGCTTTGCTAGTCAACCAGACTGGCTCGTCGAAACGGGACCACTCGATGGTGAACTTTGCCCTTGGTCACGTAGGTGTTCTTCGCCTCTCAAAATGGGCTCGTACTAATAGTACGGGCGGAGACATCCAACGTAAAACGTAGGATGCGTGCATATCCTACGAGGCAGTTCTATCGTGTATGCGTTGCCTATGCGGCGCAATACACGAAAGGGACCGATATACCTAGGCAGTAATCTATTGCTGCCCACGTTTGTCACTGCATATTTTGCTGAATTTGCTGTTGACAGTAAAACTAAGTCCCTTTATAGAATAAAAGAACATCGTTCATTCATGTTTATGTGCGTTTTTCTGTATATCTATTGCGTTTTCAATTGAATCTTGAACGAAGCGGACAACCGTTTTGCGAGTCAGTAGAAATTATTGTGCTGACTCGTCCTGGTTAACAGCAATTCACACCAAGCGCTCTGCTAAAAGAAAATAGTCTTCATCAGTAGTGGCGCCATCGTCGATGCTGTAGCAGTCGTTGGCGATGCTTAAATAACCAGCATCGTCGTCATGACCATCATCTTCGATGTCGATCACATCGACATCAGCATCCATCACGGCGACATCAATGGCGACGTGTGATGAGCAAGAGCCGGTACGGTTTGGTTTAAGCGAGCCCCCCCTAAACGAGAGTCACACTCTAAGAAGGCGGGTAAACGTGGATGAGGTAGGCCATTCACGAAGAACGGTGTATGCGAAGTAGACGCATGCACCGAGTTGTTGATGGCGAATTACTCCATCGGCAAGAACTCACTCCAACTCGTAAACGAGTGGAAATACCCTCAATTATCTCTTCGAGGACGCGGTTGAAGCGTTCCGTCCGACTATTTGTTTCTGGATGGTCAGAAGTCGACATCTTTAAGCATGTTCCTAGTGAACGGAATACGGATTGACAGAACTCCGCTATGAAGCGGGGGTCCCTATCAGACACAAGTTCACGGGGCAACCCATGAAGATCGAAAATAGTATCGATGAAGACACGAGCACAGCCCTGGGCTGTGACAGACTCCGGTACAGCAACAAGTTGTAACTTCTTGCTGAACCGCTCAACATCCACAAGAACACCAGTATTCTTGTAAGAGTCTTTGGGAAACCCAAAGACGAAGTTCATCGATACGGACTGCCAGCACACTGCCGGAATCGGTAGAGGGTGCAAGGGTGCGCGGGATGAAGGACTAGGTTTCACCCGTTAAGGAAACTTCGCAAGCGCGAATGTATATGCGCACAAACTCAAACTGGCGGGGACAGTAGAAGTCACGACTCACCGTGAGGTAAGTCGTTTCTCTACCTCGATGCCCACTGGTCGGGGCATCGTGACACTCACACATGATATGTCATCGAAAATCATCATGATCGGGGACGACGACACGAGATGTGTCGTCGTTGACTGCTGTATAGTACAGCAATCCATCACGAACAGAATACCGTTCGGTTGAAACGCGGTATTGAGACTTCAAGTTTTTCAAAGCTTGACTGCATGGATTAGATACGTAACCCATCAACCGCAGAAGAGACACATCTTCCGCGTATGCTTTTCGCACATCGTGGAGCAGATTCCACGACGGATCACTCACTGATAGTGCAGCAACAGTGGGATCACCCCTACTGCTAAAAGGAGCAGTCGAATCGAAATCCGGCCGACGCGAAAGAGCATCAGCGACGACATTAAGTCGTCCTGGTTTATACTCAACGGAGAAGTTGTACTCCGCGAAGAAAGACAGCCACCTCGCCATTCGTTGCGAGAGGTTTGGACTGTTTACGGCCGTGCGTAATGACGCATGGTCGGTATAAACGATAAAGGACCTATCTCCTAAGAGATATACCCGGAACTTGGCCCGTGCATATTTCATGGCAAGGAGCTCCTCGTCATGCACTGAGTAATTACGCTCAGCTGCTCTCAGCTGACGCGATCGATATCAGACGACGTCCTCAACGCCGTCTGAGTCGTACTGCATTAACGCACAGCCGATTGCAAAATCGCTGGCGTCACAGACCACATGGAATGGTCTGTCCTGGTCCGCAATCGCCAACACAAGCGATTGTATCAATGTTTTCTTGATACCTTCAAAGGAGTGCTGAGTGTCAGCACTCCATGACCACCTCTCGTTTTTCTTTAACAAACGAGAGAGAGATGTACTGTCATCTCGGCGTAATTGCGCAAGTACTTATGCAAGTACGCCGCCAAACCAAGGAGCTTTCGAAGTCCCTTGACGTCGACTGGCACAGGCCAGTCGCTAATCACCTTGATCTTTTCCGGATCAGGGCGTACACCGTTTTTACCCACGATGCAGCCAAGAAGTGGTATCTCGTTCGCTGCGAAGATACACTTCTTGAGGTTCGCAAACAACTTATGCTCTCGCATAAGTGTAAGAACCTTCCGGACGTGGATTCCATGAACCTCCACGTCCGTCTTCTTATCCATAGCCCGGCTATGGACGAAGACATCATTGAAGTAACTCGGTGCGAAATCGCGCACCGATCGGAACAGATTCGTGACACATCTGTTGAACGTTGCAGGGGCGTTACTTAGCCTCTATGGAATCACTAGCCACTTCTAGAACATACCACTGGGGGTGCTCACTGCTGTGTACACGATGTCCCGTTCACGCATGAGGATCTAATAGAATCCATCCATCAGATCCATGGACGAAAAGATAGTACTCTCAAAATACCATCGATGATTACGTCCTTCCTCAGTATCGGCGTTTGAGCCGGTACCGTTGCAGAGTTTAATTTGTTGAGCGCGTGCACTATCCGCCACCCTCCTGTGGCCTTTCGCACAAAGAAGGTTGGAGAGCTGTTTGGGGATGTTGATTTCCTCACATGACCAGCCGTTAAGCAAATAGCAAAGGACTTGTCGATCGCTAGTGCTTGTTCGCGAGACAGTGGCCACTGCTTCATGACACAGTACTTCGAGACCAATTTGAGCTCGATCTCATGTCGAGTGCTTTTGTCTTTCGGCAGCTTGCATGGCACGGATTCAGGGAAAATATCCCTGAATTCGACCAAATCCTTGTACAAAGGATTTGTCTTCAAAGACTCCCGAGATTGAGACGTGTATCGCTCAATCCGAGTCTTCTCATCGAGGACACTCTCGTCCATAGATGAGCTACTGAGAACCCGTTCGTTCTCAGCAAACACTTGTGACGACCAAACTTCGGCGACGTACTCGACCTCTGCGACGAGTACGCAGATCTGCTTGATCTTTTCACTACGCAGGTGGCGCAAGAACAGTTTTGGTTCTAGCGCTGGCAACTTGACTACCTCCGAAATTGACTTTGGAGGTGTTACTAGCTTAAGTGTGTAAGCGCCTACACTTGATCCGTCATTCACCAAGACATTTACTGCCTCGGTGATTTCCTGGGGAAACCCATCCGCAGGCGGTTGGGGATCCACACTCTCAACATAAATCTCTCGGGAGTTATCACTCTCAGAAAGCTGGTACTTTCTTTCACTATGTATACTACCACGGTCACGTCCTCTTCGATCGAATCTCTTTCAGTCGATCGGGCTTGCTCTACGATCGACTCTCTGTAAGTTGATCTCGCTTTAACGTGTTGTTCAACCTGAACAAAACTAATCTCTATTCTTGAGTGCATCCTTCTTGTTGTGATTCCTTGTTCCAGTCCACTAGATTCCTTTGAGTGGTGAACCTTTGGCGCAGCCTGTGTCTCTACACAGATGCCGAAAGCTGGTTCCACAGTGTAGTGTCCTCCTACACTGTGATCTTGTGCGTCCACACTAGCTACCGTACCACAAGTGAGGCCATCGCACTCACTCGTAGTACATCCACACGCTTGTGGACGCTCCAAGATGTTCATCAGATGGCCATCTGATGAACAAACAGCAATCATCTTCACGGATCGATGTTGTCAGCAGATCCATGGCTCGTATCTTCTGAGCCATGGCAGACCAAGGATGACATCAAATTTGTCATCCAAATCTAGTACAATGATTTCATCATCGTACTACTTTTCTTCTAGCGTGTAGTTGATTCCCGCTACACGTTTGTTCATTGTAACGGATGCGCCTGTAGCAAGGCACACCTTCATCCTCGTTGGAGGGAACTCTCGCTTGACATAGTTGAGTCTACTATCCTCTAGCGAATAGCGTCGGATAAAACTGTTCGACACTCCACAGTCAACTAGGGCGCGAATTGACATTCCACTTGTCACTTCGATCTTCAAAGTGATGAGCGACACATCATAACTAAGGGCAGTAACACACAATGACTATGTGTTGGGAGCAATCATCGTCAAGAGTCCTGCGAATTATCTTGACGTTGCTGGACCAGCAGGGTGCTCCGCCCCTACTGACCCTGAACATTTTTTGGCGGTCCGACTTGTTATCGCGGTTTGGCGCATGGTCGGACCCGCGCCTTGGACCATATCTCGGCCAACGGCGGTCATCACGTCCTGTCTTTGGACGTGTTGCGGTGCTTGGGACACTACACTCATTAGCGTAGTGTCCAATCTTCTGTCAGCGATGGCATCTTGCCGTTCGCTTGTGACTCAGAGAACGAGAGTTCTCGCTCTCGATGTAACAGAGGTTCAATGGTTCAGGACCTTTGTTTTCTGTCGTCTCGTCGGACGATAGTGTGACTAGTTATCCTGAGACTGTCTCAGGCTGAAGTCTTCTTGCTCCGCAGACTCTATCGCCTCTTATAGCGTATGGAAGTCCTCTCGGAACATGTAGGTCTTTACCAGTCCATATACAAGACTGTGGATGAAAACGTTATTACGCTTGTGCTCATCAATAGGGTTTTCCGTGACGCTACTCGCAAGGTAGCGTAGATGTTGCGCGTAAGCGTGCACATTACGCTTACCTTGCTTCAGCCTCATGAGTGCAGAGCGTCCTCTGAGCTCGGATCCTGGCGTCTCAAATATTTCTTTGAGCCTAGCCTTTAAGGTCAAACGTATGGGTCGTGAAGCTTGAGCCCTAAGGCTTGAGCCTTTGCTCGTCCTGTTGATTTTGACAGGGCAAAGGTAACTTGCCTCTCGTCACCCTCGATATGGCGAGCCATTATGGCATCGTCTAACTCGACAAACCATTTTAAAAAAGGATCTTCATCAGTTTCCTTGTACCTTGAGATATCTATCTTTAGGTTTTGGGTCAATGCGTGTACGTCGGCCCGCCCATCGACTAATGAGAGTCTTGCTGGTGGAGCAAGGCTAACTTCTGTCGTTTGACGGCAAGTTTCCCTTGTAGGAATTTGTTGATAGCGGCATGCTGTTGGTCTCCATCAAGAAACTCCAACATGACACGAATGGCGGTTCAATCATGAGCGCACTCATGCGTCCGACTACATCCCATAAAAATCACTCAGATGGGAGTAGCTTACACGTGTAGCGTAAAAAGCTGACGTCTTTAACGTTTAACATGTTCATGTTGGACGGTACCTAAGTAATCGCTGGACGGATTGCAAAGTGCTACCAGATGTAACGGGGCAACCTTTTTTGTGTGCTACGAAACTTCACGTACACTCGAACGTGCAGAGGAAGATATTATCGACTTAAACCACCAGCTTAATAATGGTAAAAAGAAAAATGAATTTAATTTAGTTAAGCTATCAATATAACTAAATAGTTACCTATCTATATTAGTCTACATTGTCGTATGACGACCCTGCTCATCACCCATTGTGCGCGTCTAGCAGTAATTGGTGGTAGTCTTGGTGGGTTTTTCTTGAATCCACCAATTCTCAAAAAGTATATGAATATTACATTTAGTGGTAATATTCCTATAATATTACCTATCTCGGATAATATTGGCAGAAAAATGTTACGTTAGACAATTTCCCTATCGACCCCGTTCAATGTCAATATCATGTTAAGGGCTACCCCATTACACTAACTGATTTATCAAAGTACAGAACGTATTTAACATCTCAATACCGTGCATGTGTGTATTCGACATAAGTCTAAATTAGTGAGACAATATGAATCCCCCCCCACGACTCGAAACCTATGAGAATATCGAGGAAAGTTGAATGTTGACATGTTACATGACAAGGAATTCGTAAGAAACTGAATAAATGTGAATGAAAAAGAATCGACATTAGGTAGGTCCTTAGTTCGACGATGCTACATCTAAGCATATCAATGTCAAGTATTTTTTGGAACTGATGATGTGTCCGTCCCGTCATCACACACACGCATGTTGTGTGGTCAATGTCATGTAGTAGGTACACAACTATTTTCTTTTCGGATGAAGGTAATTAATAATTCTGCTTCCTAAAGCTTGGGCACCAGGTTCTTCGCGAAACCTGAGCGTCACGGCAATTCGCGCGGTGTCATGTTCGCCGAAGGTTTTTACCAAGTATTCTGCTATACTGGAATACACGTGACTGCCCTCTTCGGCAAGTTGTTCAGCAAATGCTGTTTCAAGTTTGTCGTGGATGCCAGGCTGCGAAAACATTAGTCGAATGTCCGTTTTGTCCAGATTTAGTCCCACGTAGAGCGATTCGATGAGGTCGTCGAGTTTATTGAAAGCTCTAGATTCCATGCCATCGGATGTTTGGGCCCGACGAAGGTTCGTTGCAGTGCCATATTCAAATGCTTCACTGGCGGCCGTTCGGAGCTGGCGACCGGCAAACACACCCGTCTCATCCTCACGGAACGCATCAGCGTGCAGCAGAATCCCGTTGGACACGTCTACAATAATGCCAGGTAGCAGTACCGCGTGGACGATGCGCATTGTACAGTTGAAAGACTCGAGAGGTGGTTTTTGGGAGGCGAATGCGGAACTGACGTACGGCTTGGCTTTTAAAAAAAACATCGTGCGTCGTTCATTGGTCCAGCATGCCGTCCGATCTCTAATCTCTACAATGGACACGTGTCTGCCGCTGTCCAGCGTTAAATTTATAGCGGGAAGGTGAACCGGACGTGCACGTGCTATATTATGCAGTTTCGCATGTCTTCAGATACAATTCTGAGCTGTTCTGGCTTTATATCCTGGTGAAGCCCGGATGGCAGCTGCCCGATACCACCCTCACCCATGTCTCTAGACCACGTTACCCAGGTTTATGCCAGGGTAGTATATGTCGCACCTGAAAGAGCGAGAGAAGTCGGCATCGCTCAATGATTATAGACAGACTCTTCTAATCCGAATGAAGGCACGCGCGTCCAGTCAACGGTTGAACATGCAGTTCTGGTCGCGCTGACGAGGAAACCATCGACTTGCGGTACAGGGTCTCGAAGGACTTCCATCTATTCTAAAGTTCACTTCAAATGCAATCGTTTGCTTTGGTGTGCAAGTAAAATTAACGTTCATCATCACGACTCCATAGTGCACGTGTACTGCAAGAAACGGAGCTTGCGTGTATATGTTGTCTGTGAGACCGACGCATCAATGTTACACTCTCTCACGTGCGCGCTGCACGTGCTTGCTAAACATATACCCTTCGGGACAGCTAAAAAAATATCTGGTCCGAAGCACGATCCAAACGGTTGCTGCGTTTTGCCGTTTAAAACAGTCTCCTGAACAGCCTTTGTTACTTAAACTTGATTCTTAGATTGATAACGCCTTTTTATGTGAGTTTTGTCAAGACAGGCTTTAATATATTTATAGAGCCAATTATGATACTGCGCATGCATTCGGATAAAAGAACATGCTGGGAACCCTCTTGTGCTTGAGACAAACAACGGTACCTCCTTAAGCTCAGTTTTGGAGACAAAATTTGGAGACAAAACCAAGAATTACACAAAGACCACGCGCAACGTTGACCTGTTCACGTCTATGTTCGGAGTGTACAAATTCCAGTCTATGGCCGTTAGAGTGCCGCATCTGATTTATAAGTCTTTTTCTCAAAACATGTTGGTGGGGTGGCATCGGCTTCATGGTGGTGGTGGTGATGTCAAGTACGTCCATTATTATCACGAATCACTAACGGCTGACATTCCAGGAAGTGTGATCCCAAACCGGATCTATAACGTGGGTGCTCCGAAGAGCCGGGTGCGAGGGTGGCGGAGGTCAGAGACATCCAATTCAAGCCAGATTCGAGTCCATCTTTCAAGTGCTCTCAGTGCAACGCTGCCCTATGCAGCAGAAGGTATCATGACGTCCAAAAAGGACGCCCGACCGAATCGGTGACCGCTTTGCGCGGCCAGCCGACCAACAGCGCGAGTAACCGAAGTTACGTTACACGCCAGGGTTGCCACTAAAAATCGACGACAGACTCCATTGTGGCCGCTTGAGCGACCGTCCGAGCTGGATGTCGCTGTCGCCGAGGCGATGACGATGACGATGGCGGGGGGAACGCCACCCGCCTTAATTTATCCCGTAGAAGCCAATACATCTGCGATGGTGGGCATCCGTTTGCCGTTTGCGTGGCCCATCGACGTAGAGTGTAGCCACCGAAGTAACCACGAGGCGTGGGGAACGCCATGCGGTCACGTCGATGATCTTCGCAAAGTGCGGCCACAATGGAGTCTGTCGCCGATTTTAGTGGCATTTAACAAAGCTGTAAGGCGATCAAGGCTTCATCTTCAGTGGCTTACATCTGTTTGTGAGGCACCATTAAGCGCTTTGTTATGTAATGTTCGTAAGGGCCTCAGCGCTAACAGTGTGTACCGCGCAATGAACAAAAGAGGGAGGATGATAATAGAGACAACGTTGTCCAGCTGCATTATCTTGTAGATATTTTCGCGGGTACGTGCGCACCTTTGATGTTATGACTGCCTCTTTGTTATTTGCGCCTTCGGGCAACAACGGCCAAGCTACGAAAACCCTTAAAATACAGGTCGCCCGGCCCCCTTACTCTGGGTCTAAGTTCCCTACCGGGGTGAGGGGCTCGGCAACAGCAACCGTCATCCCCTCACCTAGTACCTCGTGTTCCACTTCAGCCTTCGAGTTGCCGAACAGGTCACCAACTATGACTCCTGAGCCCACGAAGCGAAATTCGCCCGGAACGTGATCTAGATCGGCCCAGCCCGGGTGCGTCAGCGGCCCATTGGGAGTATTCTGTCTGGTCCCTGCCGTTTTTTTTCGACTTCAGTGCCCGGTCTGCACCTCGGGCTAGATATCCGTTTCTATGTGGCTTTTGCGAAGTGTCCTTCGTAAAGACCGAAGAGTCGCGCTGATAGGACTGAGACAGCAAGAAGAAGAAGATGTAGTTTAGGCAGCAGCGCATTGAAATTCATACAGAGCACAAGCACTTGATCAACATTCAAATATATTATCACGTTTTGAGACAGCGGTACACCGGGGATTTTATTTCTGTATCCCATTTCTGCATAGGACATTGTCAGCAGGCCAAAGGGTGGGACAGTCTTCACAAAGCGAGCAACGCCCCCCCCATAGTTCTAATTGCTATGCTCCAGCACCAGTAGTCATCAGAGACGTTCTTCTCCTTTTTAATGGAGCAGCAGGGATCGACGCCCTTAAAATGACACCCTGGTCCTCGCTTCTCAAAGTAGCCGGATTTTTTAGCCCGATGGAAAAGTGTCAACGAAGTAGCAACATGTCAATATTTTTTTCCATAAAATAGTACTGCTGTGGAGTGACTGGAGGCATCAAAATCATCGCGCACGTGCCGCTCTCTTCTTCAGGTATGAGAAATGTGCTGCCAACTTGACTCCTCAACGTATAAACTTCTCGCGCAGCTATTGAGACAGCTAGCAAAATCCTAAGGGCCTCCTGATGATACGTTGGTACAATTAGCAGGCGATCGGCGCCTTTGATACAACATAAGCTGTGTCGTAGCAGCAGTAGCCACACGGGCAGCAACTGGGACGGTATGCGTCCGTGTGTTTAGCAGAAATCATCCGTGTGTATAAAAACGCCCTCGAGTTGATAGCTGTATAGATGCTCTCGCCCCAATAAATTTCCATTTTACCTCAATGTACGAGAGAAGACTAGTACAAGGCAGCGTGTGCACCACTAGACATAGATACGGGCCAATATTGGCCACGCGCTAGCGCTGAAAAGGCTACTGTTCGTTGTCCATGAAGTCTGTGATTGCTTCTATATTGATTGTAACGGGGTAGCCCGTTACAAGATATTGACACTGAAAGGTGCCAATAGGGAGATATTCTAGCATGACAATATTCTACCGATATTATCTGGGATGGATAATATTGAAGGAATATTATCCCCTTTTGAGTGATATTCATTCACTGCTCCAAGATTGGTTGATATAAGACATATCAACCACAGATTACCACCAATCGCTGCTAGACGCGCGCAATGAGTGGTGAGCAGGTTGTCGTCATACGACGGCGTAGTTTAATATTGTTAGATAAAGACTAAAGTTATATTGATAGCTTAACTATATTAAACACAGTTCTCTTTTTACCTTACTTGATCGAGTCATTCAAGTAGTTTAGCTTCCTCTGCACGTACTAGTGTACGTGAAGTTTCGCGGCACCCCAAACAAAGGGTGCCCCGTTACACCTGGTAGCACTTGTTGGTTCGTCCAACGAATGCTTAGTGTCCGTCCAACATATGCATGATGCACGTAGAAGACAACAGCTTATACGTCACGCGTGAAGGCTACTACCACCTGGGTGACTCAGAATGGGGAGTAGTCGGCCGCATGAGTGTGCTCACAAGCGAACCCGCCATCAGAGGTATGCTGGAGTCTCTAAGCAGAGACTAGCAACATGCTGCTATCAACAAGTTCCTACAAGGGGAACTTGCCGTCAAACGACAGAAGATAGCCTTGCTACAGCAGCAAGGCTCTCATCAGTCGATGGGCGGGCTGACGCACATGCGTCGACCCAAAACCTTGGAGATGGACATCTCAAGGTACAAGGAAACCGATGAAGATTCCCTTTTGAGATGGTTCGTCGAGTAAGACGACGCCACCAGGGCCCGTCATATCGAGGGCGACGAGATGCAAGTCACATTCACCCTGTCAAATGTGACGGGCCGAGCAAAGACTTGGGCCTTGGGGCTCAATCTTCACGACCCAAACGTGTTTGAGTCGTTGGAGATCTTGAATTCTCGGCTCAAAGAGACGTTTGAGCCGCCGAGAGCCGAGTCCAGAGCACGCTCTGCACTCTTGAGTCTCAAGTAAGGTAAGCGTGACGTGCACGCTTACGCACAGCACCTGCTCTACCTTACAAGTAGCGTTACGGAGAACCCTGTTGATGAGCATACGCGCATCAACGTCTTCATCTACGGCCTTGTGGATGGGCCGGTGAAGACCTACATGTTCCGAGAGGACTTCCATACGCTGGAAAGGGCGATCGCGTGTGCAGAACAAGAAGACTTTAGCCTGAGACAGTCTCAGGCTATCTCGTCCAACTATCGTCCGACGAGGCGACAGAAAACAGGAAGTCCCGAACCAATGGACCTCTGTTACGTCGAGAGAGAGAACTCTCGTTCTCTGAGTCACAAGCGAACGGCAAGATGCCATCGCTGACAGAAGATTGGACACTACGCTAATGAGTGTAGTGTCCCAAGCACCGCAACACGTCCACATACAGGACGTGATGACCACCAATGGCCGAGATATGGTCCAAGGCGCGGGTCCGACCATGTCGCTAAGCCGCGACAGCAAGTCGGACCGCCAAAAAACGGACATGATCAGTAGGTGCGGAGCCCCTTGCTGATACAGCAACGTCAAGAAATTTGCAGGACTCTTGACGATGATTTCTCCCAACACATAGTCATTGTGTGTTACTGCCCTTAGTTATGATGTGTCGCTCATCACTTTGAAGATCGAAGTGAAGAATGGAATGTCACTTCGCACCCTAGTTGACTGTGGAGCGTCGAACAGTTTTATTCGACGCCAGTCGCTAGAGGATAGTAGACTCAACTATGTCAAGCGAGAGTTCCCTCCAACGAGGATGAAGGTGTGCCTTGCTACAGGCGCATCCGCTACAATGAACAAACGTGTAGTGGGAATCAACTACACGCTAGAAGAAAAGCAGTACGATGATGAAATCATTGTACTAGATTTGGATGACAAATTTGATGTCGTCCTCGGTCTGCCATGGCTCAGAAGATACGAGCCATGGATCTGCTGACAACATCGATCCGTGAAGATGATTGCCGTTTGTTCATCAAATGGCCATCTTATGAATGTCTTGGAGTGTCCACAAGCGTGTGGATGTACTACGAGTGAATGCGATGGCCCCACTTGTGGTACGGTAGCTAGTGTGGCCGCACAAGATCACAGTGTAGGAGGACACTACACTGTGGAACCAGCTTTCGGCATCTGTGTAGAGACACAGGCTGCGCCAAAGGTTCACCACTCAAAGGAATCTAGTAGACTGGAACAAGGAATCACAACAAGAAGGATGCACTCAAGAATAGAGATTAGTTTTGTTCAGGTTGAACAACACGTTAAAGCGAGATCAACTTACAGAGAGTCGATTGTAGAGCAAGCCCGATCGACTGAAAGAGATTCGATCGAAGAGGACGTGACCGTGGTAGTATACGTAGTGAAAGAAAGTCCCAGCTTTCTGAGAGTGATAACTCCCGAGAGATTTATGTTGAGGGTGTGGATCCCCAACCGCCTGCGGATGGGTTTCCCCAGGAAATCACCGAGGCAGTAAATGTCTTACTGAATGACGGATCAAGTGTAGGCGCTTACACACTTAAGCTAGTAACACCTCCAAAGTCAATTTCGGAGGTAGTCAAGTTGCCAACGCTAGAACCAAAACTGTTCTTGCGCCACCTGCGTAGTGAAAAGATCAAGCAGATCTGCGTACTCGTCGCAGAGGTAGAGTACGTCGCCGAAGTTTGGTCGTCACAAGTGTTTGCTCAGAACGAACGGGTTCTCGGTAGCTCATCTATGGACGAGAGTGTCCTCGATGAGAAGACTCGGATTGAGCGATACACGTCTCAATCTTGGGAGTCTTTGAAGACAAATCCTTTGTACAAGGATTTGGTCGAATTAGGGATGTTTTCCCTGAATCCGTGCCATGCAAGCTGCCGAAAGACAAAAGCACTCGACATGAGATCGAGCTCAAATTGGTCTCGAAGTACTGTGTCATGAAGCAGTGGCCACTGTCTCGCGAACAAGCACTAGCGATCGACAAGTCCTTTGCTATTTGCTTAACGGCTGGTCATGTGAGGAAATCAACATCCCCAAACAGCTCTCCGACCTTCTTTGTGCGAAAGGCCACAGGAGGGTGGCAGATAGTGCACGCGCTCAACAAATTAAACTCTGCAACGGTACCGGCTCAAACGCCGATACTGAGGAAGGACGTAATCATCGATGGTATTTTGAAAGTACTATCTTTTCGTCCATGGATCTGATGGATGGATTCTATTAGATCCTCATGCGTGAACGGGACATCGTGTACACAGCAGTGAGCACCCCCAGTGGTATGTTCTAGAAGTGGCTAGTGATTCCATAGAGGCTAAGTAACGCCCCTGCAACGTTCAACAGATGTGTCACGAATCTGTTCCGATCGGTGCGCGATGTCGCACCGAGTTACTTCAATGATGTCTTCGTCCATAGCCGGGCTATGGATAAGAAGACGGACGTGGAGGTTCATGGAATCCACGTCCGGAAGGTTCTTACACTTATGCGAGAGCATAAGTTGTCTGCGAACCTCAAGAAGTGTATCTTCGCAGCGAACGAGATACCACTTCTTGGCTGCATCGTGGGTAAAAACGGTGTACGCCCTGATCCGGAAAAGATCAAGGTGATTAGCGACTGGCCTGTGCCAGTCGACATCAAGGGACTTCGAAAGTTCCTTGGTTTGGCGGCGTACTTGCATAAGTACTTGCGCAATTACGCCGAGATGACAGTACATCTCTCTTGTTTGTTAAAGAAAAACGAGAGGTGGTCATGGAGTGCTGGGTGTCAGCACTCCTTTGAAGGTATCAAGAAAATATTGATACAATCGCTTGTGTTGGCGATTGCGGACCAGGACAGACCATTCCATGTGGTCTGTGACGCCAGCGATTTTGCAATCGGCTGTGCGTTAATGCAGTACGACTCAGACGGCGTTGAGGACGTCGTCTGATATCGATCGCGTCAGCTGAGAGCAGCTGAGCGTAATTACTCAGTGCATGACGAGGAGCTCCTTGCCATGAAATATGCACGGGCCAAGTTCCGGGTATATCTCTTAGGAGATAGGTCCTTTATCGTTTATACCGACCATGCGTCATTATGCACGGCCGTAAACAGTCCAAACCTCTCGCAACGAATGGCGAGGTGGCTGTCTTTCTTCGCGGAGTACAACTTCTCCGTTGAGTATAAACCAGGACGACTTAATGTCGTCGCTGATGCTCTTTCGCGTCGGCCGGATTTCGATTCGACTGCTCCTTTTAGCAGTAGGGGTGATCCCACTGTTTCTGCACTATCAGTGAGTGATCCGTCGTCGAATCTGCTCCACGATGTGCGAAAAGCATACGCGGAAGATGTGTCTCTTCTGCGGTTGATGGGTTACGTATCTAATCCATGCAGTCAAGCTTTGAAAAACTTGAAGTCTCAATACCGCGTTTCAACCAAACGGTATTCGGTTCATGATGAACTGCTGTACTAAACAGCAGTCAACGACGACACATCTCGTGTCGTCGTCCCCGATCATGATGATTTTCGATTACGCATCATGTGTGAGTGTCACGATGCCCCGACCAGTGGGCATCGTGGTAGAGAAACGACTTACCTCACGGTGAGTCGTTACTTCTACTGGCCCCGCCAGTACGGGTTTGTGCGCATATACATTCGCGCTTGCGAAGTTTCCTTAACGGGTGAAGCCTAGTCCTTCATCCCGCGCACCCTTGCACCCTCTACCGATTTTGGCAGAGTGCTGGCAGTCCGTATCGATGAACGTCGTCTTTGGGTTTTCCAAAGACGCTTACAAGAATACTGGTATTCTTGTGGATGTTGAGCGGTTCAGCAAGAAGTTATAACTTGTTGCTGTACCGGAGTCTGTCACAGCCCAGGGCTGTGCTCGTGTCTTCATCGATACTATTTTCGGACTTCATGGGTTGCCCCGTGAACTCGTGTCTGATAGGGAACCCCGCTTCACAGCGGAGTTCTGTCAATCCGTATTCCGTTCACTCGGAACACGCTTAAAGATGTTGACTTCTGACCATCCAGAAACAAATAGTCAGACGGAACGCTTCAACCGCGTCCTCGAAGAGATAATTTGAGGGTATTTCCACTCGTTTACGAGTTGGAGTGAGTTCTTGCCGATGGAGTAATTCGCCATCAACAACTCGGTGCATGCGTCTACTTCGCATACACCGTTCTTCGTGAATGGCCTACCTCATCCACGTTTACCCGCCTTCTTAGAATGTGACTCTAGCTTAAGGGGGGGGTGGACTCGCTCGAGCAAAAAACGATCTGGTTCTTGCTCATCACACGTCGACAATGGTGTCGACGTGATGATTGCCGATGTCGATGCGATCCACATCGACAATGATGATGACGACGGTGCTGGTATATTCAGCATCGTCAGCGGCACCCACAATGAGTGAGGACGATGACGCCCTCACTGGTGAAGACAACGTACTTTCAGTAGTGCACACGAAGCGCACTACTGTTAACAAGGATGAATCAGCAGAGGAATGTCTGCTGACTCGCGAAGCGGTTGTCCGCTTCGTTCAAGACTATATTGCAGATGCAATAGATAGACAGAAAAGAAATGCAGACAAACATGGAAGAGCAAACGTTCTTTCATTTAGCGAAGGGGATATAGTTTTACTGTCTACAGTAAATCTACTGAAACACGCAGTAACGAAAGTGGGCAGCAATAGATTACTGCCTCGGTACATCGGTCCATTTCGTGTGTTGCGACGTATGGGCAACGCATACACGATTGAACTGCCTCGTAGGATATGCACGCATCCAAAGTTTTACGCTGGACGTCTCCGCCCGTACTATTAGTACGAGCCCATTTTGAGAGGCGAAGAACACCTCCGCGGTCAAGGACCGAGACCACCTTCGATTGGTCCCGTTTCGACGAGCCAGTCTGGTTGACTAGCGAAGCGACCTGCTCACGCAGTTGAGCGATGTCCTGACGAGACGCATTCAGCTCGTCACGAAGAGAACGAACCGAACGTTCGTTCGTTTCCAAGTTGCGCGAACGCAAACACGGCACGATTGTTCGATCGATCGTGCGCTAAGGACTTGTAGTTATCCTTCACGAGGTCATGAAGCTCGTAACGCCGTGTCCGTTCGTGAAGCAGATCATCGTGTAACTTTCTTTGCACAGTTCAGTCACTGAAAATCAAGCTGATCCGACCCATGAGCCGGATTAGGTGCTCCCGCTACCACCACATCCTTTGATGAATTCTCGCGGTGATCAACGCTTTCTGGAGCAGCGTATCTTGAATCACCACGACGTGAAGGGTGTCCAGACGAGCTACCACGTCTGCTGGCGTAGCTTTCCACCGGCCTATGACAGCTAAGAGCCTCGTGCCCAGCTGATCGCTGATGTCCTGGGTATCGTCGAGCATTATGACGAGACCCACCCGCTGCATTCGAACAAGGGCCGTCGAAAACCGACCCCCCGAGCGATAGTACAGGAATTGCAAAGTGTCAATCCCTTCGTCCATCTCAGAAGAGACGCTCGCCCTCCATTAGGGAAAATTAGTGAGGTAGGCCTCTATAGAGGCATGGTTAGCATAGTGCAGAAACCTTAGAAATTGGTCGCCCCATGAGAGACAGGGTAATCCTGCCTCTCTTGACATTCGGTGCAACTTGTACCGCACCCCGATTGGGTTGCGTTCTTCAAACCTGATGCGATCTGCATCAAGTTTATCGAGCCAGGCGTCACGTCCAATGCACTCAATGCTGTGCATGAAGGCATTTCATCACTGCACCAAGGCTTTACCGTCGCGACCACGGTTGCCATTGTATCACCGATGTTTAAAGAACACATCGATGAAGAATTCTTCCTCAGCACGAATATTTTCCGTGCTGGAATGAGGAAGATAGATTCTCCTACAGTCTAAAAAGAGATTTGACCCCGTTCGGTGGTCGTACCGGCCACTCAATCCATCCCTTTGGATGATGGCATCCAACGAGACTCGACTTGAGAAGCATAACGAAGGACACTGCGGTCCCTAGCCTCTTGAGTAGTGTCAGCTTGAACGCTGACACCGCTAGCAGCTCGATTCCTCGGTTTGCTTTCTTGCGGTGACGCAAAGGTGCGTCACCACCTTCACCATGCGTAGCAGTGTCAGATGGACTTGCGTGAGGCGAGGATTCGTCAGACGAATCGCTCGGTCCGAAGATCTCGGACATGATGGCCCCACATTTCCCAGAGCCAGTCAACCCAGCTCTGGCAGGGTCCGCACCGGGTGATCCGGATGCAGGAGGTGCCGCCTTTGAGTCGGATGGATAATCCGACTCGCCAAAGTAGATGAGTTCTATCTCAGACTCATCTGCATAGCGATTAACCCCACCCTCTGCAGACGCAGCGGATGTACCTGTCGCTCATGGGAACTAACCACGTGGACTGTTCACAACAACAGGCGACGAATCATCTGCTGCTGAGGCGTGAGATAAACTAACTCCGGCTACACACATGCGTGCAGCCGCTTTTCTCGCTGCTGCAGTAGCAACTTGCATAAGTTTGGAAGCCATGCGTTGGATTGGCAAATGAGTGGAAATTGACCAACAAGTGCTCCCTTTCCCAAAGTAAACAACGGTGGTCACCCTGTCCCAATCAATTCTATTCAATCACAGGTGATTGATGGTTAAGGAAGGGTGATGTAACGGGGTAGCCCACTACATGATATTGACATCAAATTATGTCAATAGAAATATTGTCTAGTACGACAATATTCTACCAATACTATCCAAGATGGATAATATTGATGGAATATTATCCCTTTGTAGATAATATTCATGCGCTGCTCAATGATTGGTTGATAAAAGCTTATCAACCATAGATTTTTTTTACAACCAATCGCTGCTAGACGCGCGCAATGGGTGGTGAGCAGGCGGTCGTCATACGACGACGTAGTTCAATATAGTTAGATAAAGACTAAAGTTATATTGATAGCTTACTATATTAAATACAGCTCTCTTTTTACCCTTTGCTCAAACGAGTCGTTTGAGTAGATTAGGTTCCTCTGCACGTACGAGTGTACGTAAGGTTTCGTGGCACCCTAAACAAAGGGTGCCCCGACACAGACGAGGCAGACACAGAGATATAAGCTATTTCTACCACAGCCCTGCTCGGTGAAGAGGCAGACAACGGTTCCTGTTTAAGGGCTCGAGATGTGGCGACTTTACTGAGTCGGAATCAACAGGCGAAAATAGTCATCAACACGCAGACAGAGATCAGCACCCAGAAAAAGTAGAAGCAGATCACTCACACAGACGCTGATTCGTAAATACCTTTCTGTGGCACCAATCATGCAATAATATCGAAACTAAAAAAATTTCACAGGGCATCAATTTTTTCGGTGATAAACGTGTTATATTATCATGAGCAAGCATGACGCATGCACTTCCACTCCATGTCCGCAGACAAAATGCCTTTCATAAAATCCATAGGCCGCTGGACATAAGAATTATGTTCATCTTGTACACCTACAGCGTATCGTTGTTTCCGGTAACGATGTCAACATAGACCCAGAGTTGACGCTTAGGCTCGTAAGCTGTATAAGGGAGCGTAAAAGACATGGATCAGAGATGCTGCTGAAATAATAACAGTAAAAGTGATTAATATTATGCATATAATTTTGCTAACCATTGATATGATTTCTTGAGTTGTTGCCCCTATAAAGGTCACATTAGTTCCATCTTTTGTCCTTAACGACTCCCCTTCTCTCTGCTGCGGTTTTCTCTTCTCTCTATATACAATGGGCTATGTCGTAAGAGTTACTGGACGTCACTGCCTGGCAAGAAAGAACTGGCGAACCCCCTACATCAGGAATTGAGATTTTAACTTCATCACTATAACTCATGTCATTTATCGAACCAGAGACCACTGATTTGATTTTCCACAACATATCGCTTAAGCTGTGAGCGTACATACTTTCGATACGATGGCGTTCACATAGATTGTAGCGCAGACACACAATTTTGAATCAACGCGTTACCTTCAAGCAACAGAATGCAGCCATACCATTTTATCTTTCGAATCCTTTTCACAGAACGTTCATTTTGAATTGTACATAGACAATTAAAAGCCCACGCAAATTTCGTGAAACGGCCGTGCACACACTACAATTTATTAATTGTAAAGTCTAACATGTGTCAAATTTTTTTGGTACACATAAATAGACACTGACCTAGAGGATCAACATCTTATCCGGTACAGGGAAATAACATTTTTTAGACATCATATTATTCAAGTTGTCTGTACACTCTATGTGGTCTTATTTCTCCGGTCATTTTAAACACATTCTTCAAATTAAAATCGATCAGTTTTGATCCTAGACGATATAATACTTCAAAGAGCATGAGACCTTAAGAGCTCCATCATCGCCATCGTAACTACCAGTCATCATAGTAAATGTATGAAAACGTACTTTTGAGACTACACCTTCCTGTAATTTATGACTAGGTCAAGAGTGAGTCCTTGATACTGTCAATTTGACTCTGTTGAAGCGGCGATTGTTTTGCTGGTACGAAATGGAAATGACCAAGGAGGACAACCTTGTTGAATATCACTCTCGGCTAAAGCAGGAGTATTCTCGATATATTTTGCAATATTGAACACTTTCTTATTCGAAGCATCCCGAGAAAGTTTTTTTGTTGGGCCTCGAATATGTCTTGGTGCTTGCACTTCATTTTTTTACTAAAAAACTGTCAGAAGCACAAGGTGTATAATAGGAGGGAACAGGGACCAAAGACGCAGATTTATCCTGTTGAACTTGTGCAGCACTTACTTGCTTCGAAATTTTTAAATAATTTGACTGCAAATTTGCTTTTGATGTACACGATGCTCCATCGTAGTGTGAGGCATTCCATTGCTTTTATTGCAAAGAGACCAAAAACCTGTCGCGTGCCAAGTTTTTGCGTATGACGACAGCAAAAAATTAATTAAACATTTTGACTAGAAAATCGCTCGAAACATAGACGCCAAATTTAATTTCTCTTTTAGTTGCGAATGACAACAGCACAGTATGCAGATTACTAGCATCCAGTTTAATTGCATTAAAATCACAACTTTGTAGAACTCAACCTGTCTCAAGATTTTGAGTAAAAATTAAACCTGTAACAGAATTTCTACTGTCGTAAGACGGAATATGTTGTACAAGAGCAGATAGAAAAGCAATTTAATTCTACACTTTGAAAGAAGCAGCATCAAGCTTGCGTATTTTTGTTGCTCGAAGATCAGTTATGGGAGGAAAGATCACGGTAAACAATTAGACAATAAAAGAGATGCATTTGAGTTTTGCAACGACTACAAATTGTGTTTGAAAGCATTCACGTAATGCCGAGTCATATCGACAGAGAAAAGACCACTGAAAACTTTGCGGTGTCTTTACCGATTGATTAAATAAGTTTAATTTTTGGGTCCTGCGTCTGATTAGTTTTATTTAAAAATTTAGGCCCAAATTGACAACAGTAATCGCAAAAACGATATCGGTCTTAATATGGATGGCCATTTTTTGTTATAAGTAGCGCTGTGTGAGATTCGTATATTCATGCAATTAACATCGTTTGCTCACTACAACAGATAACTTAGTTCAGTATTCTTTTTCGACAGATCAAAGGAACGTACGCTGTCATACAAATATGGAAAGTCTCGTCTGAAATACGCGGCAGCCGAAGAATTCGGTTAATGATTGGAAGCACTACCGAAAAATGTTATAATGTGCAGGTTAGTGCCAAAGTCCAGTATCGGCCGCACTACAATCCAGGAGGGTAAAGCAGAACACTTGGTTCTTGCTGAGCAACTTCGAAATTGAGATGGAGAAACGTCGAAGGTGTCACCCTCTCTTTCGACCTATACTGTAAAATGTACACCAACGGGCGCACACATGCTTTGATTATACCAATTGTAACGGAGCATCCCAGCCAACTGTACCGGTGCGTATCATTATCATACTAAGCCACAAAACCGTTAGGTGTAACGTGGTGAGCCTACCACATATAGTCAACACCCGATACGTTTTAGTGATAATATTATCAAAAGGTTGGTAATATTCATTTATATTACCATAAGGAGTAATATTTAGAAACGCTCACCGATTGTCTGATACAAGCCATCATGTCATCCAACTCTTGCGGTCCAATGAGCGATGGACGCGCGCAATGAGTGTTGATCGAGACTTAAGCATACACATCTGTAAATAATAAAACTAAAGTTTGGACTAAACATAGGTTAATGATCAGGACTTGACTATATTTCGTACGATTCTAATTTCTACTCCTATTACGCAAAAAAGATAGCTAGCCTTCTTCTGCACATCCATTAACGTCCGGACACAAAATATAGATTCAAAGACACGATACCTTGTACTTTTAGCACACACACATTGTTGTATCTACTGTCTGATGTCTTTTGTTGCGGCTACTTACTACGGCAACGTAGTATGCACTGGACAATTTTTATAGCGTAATTTTTAATATACCGTAGCAATTTAAACTGAGTAATTCCAAGAGGCTTAAGTGAGAGCCAGCCTCACTTCTGATGAGAATCATACCAAATAAAACTCGTCTTCCTCTACGTTATCTCGTTTCTTTCGGTACTCGACATCATTAATTTTATTATTATAGCCCCCTGTGCTCGCTTCGGTCACCTTATTGCTGCGTGGTTTCTTTTCGTATAAAATCGTTTGTTTGCAACTCACACTAAACTCTTTCCACATATTGTGCGCTTACATTATCATCGTGCTGCAATCAGCCGACACTAACTTTGAACAGCACGCATTATCAGTAATTAATCGTTTATATGAGTTGTATAAGCGTAAGTGCAGCCATCATTTTGCTGTACAAATCCGGTCAAAGACCGTCAATCATCTCTTTCATTGACTACATCAGCATCTGTATATGCCACAATATGCTGGTCTAATTTAGTTCGTGATGCCTTCAGATGCACCGGATTCTGCACTTTTGTCTCTTAGACAACGTCAAAGAAATTTTTAGTCTGATGTTTCTATACTTCACAAAAGCAATGATTTATACAATACGTAGTGTCTCTTGTACAAAAGTTAAAAATATTACTTGATATTCGCACCACGTCAGCAACGTATCATGACGCCTGCATTGTACTAAATGTAGGATCGATCACACAATTTGTCGATAACCCACATCTAAATTTAGGTCCACAAACACCAATTCTACCGCCAAATTTTCAGGGATCGGGTAGTTATCTTTTAGCCGTGGTGTAGGAAAAGGATTAATTGTTTTCATTTTATATTTCATAAATCTTTTTAATGAAGAAGTGCTTTATATTGTCATCATGCACCTTTAAAGTATGATTCGCCATTTTATGTAAACACTTCACAGAACCCAATTCTTAATTTTGAAACTTCTTACTAAATTTGCTATAAGAATCTCAATGTTGGTCTCAGTTAATACAATAAAGAAATCATCTAAGTATACGGTAATGCATACCTTTTTCTCTTCCATTGTTTGCGCGTATTCACCTGCATCCATCTTTAAGCAACAGTAACCACAAG